TACCGCAAATTTATTTCCAATGCATTTTCCTAGTAATAAAGATGGATCTTTTTCATGGCAAAAATGAACTGACAACAGATTGAACTGAGCGCAAAAATATAACAATCCTCGCTGCAAACTCGATTGGTCAATAAATGCATGATATACTCTTAAAGCTAACTTCATTGAATAGACGACACCAGACGATCGAAACAATTCAAATAAATAACTAAATATGTACATAAATTAATAAAACACAATATACTTGAAATCACGCAATAACAATATTACAAAATTGACAATAATAATAATAATAATAATGAGGTCAACTAACAATTAATAATAACAACAAATAATAAAAATGAAAATGATATTAAAGTGTGTCAATATAATAAGACGACTGTTCACCAATATCTTCCCTCTCATTCTCATTTAAAGGTTCCATTTTCATCCATTCATCATCAAAAACAATTTCTTCATTTATCGAATGCATATTTCTTGTCGATCCAAAAAAGTCGGTTATACGCACTCGTGATGGATCCTGATGCAAATTAACTAATGAAGATGATGAAGGAGAGGAATCGAAAAAATAAATCACCGTAAACAAAATAATTTAAAAATCAAAAAATTAAACTCATTGAATGCTAAACCACAGTTTAAGCATTGTCGGTTTCAGTAAATAACAAAAAANAAAAAACAATTGTACCTTTGGATAGAGATCCTTACGTACGCCAATAGTGGAAAGACATTTAGAGTGTGGACATGAATCGAAGTAGTCTTGCATTGAACGATTCGTGTTCAGTGAATGCACTTCTCTTTCCAAGAATTCCAGTGTGAAATGTGTATATCGATCGATTATATATACACCGATCGTTCTGAAATATCATTTGGTTGTTAATGACAAACCCCAAATCTTTTCTGCATGATTGCGACCGAGCGATCACTCAACTGCGATAGTATCGGCATTGGAAGTGAATTAAATAAAGGCATTTCTTCTGAACATTGAATTCGAATTTTCGAAAATTTTAACATGAAAAATTCGAAAGGAAGAAACCAATTCTTTCAAAAAGATCAAAAAACGAACTGATCAACGTCGTACGATAACGAATCTTCGCCAACCAACGAACTGCTCGTCGCAAGCACATTTGGACTGTACACCCGCTGATACATAGATTCACTTTGACATGTATCAGCGATTAAAAATAATTCATTATATCTGAAGAAACATTGAAGTGATGAAGTAAAAAACTTCACATTATGATTCAAAAATAAAATTATTCAAGAAATAATTATTTTGGCTGAATACGATGAGCTAAGAAAATATAGACAAGATGAATTAATACGAATGGTGAATTCTGAACTACAATTAAAAGATTTCTTTGCAATTGCCAATTGATGACGTGATGTAAAAGAAGCAAACTGAAATTTATATGTTGAAAAAGAGGCAAATCGAAATGAACAGATTTTTTTTGAAATTCAAAGATTAAAAGATTCTGAATTCGAAATGAAAAAAAAANAAAAAAAAAGATGCAAAACGAATACCGATTACTCTGGAACATTGTTTCGATGGCATCAGCTAAATCGACGTTCGTTAACTCTTCAGAGTCTTGAAACTTAAGGAAGCTATCCCCTCCGTGACCAGTCAAATAGATCAATACATTCGACTGGTGATCTGACAGAAGACGTTTTGAACGAGGTGTTGCTGGATGCACACGACCCGTCATCATGCGTACAAAATTCTCAACTGATACCTGAATGAAGAAAAAATCAATTACACGCGCGTTCATCATTAACACAACGGCTTCTCAGCCAGCATGTTTTCGTGACGCTCTCATGCTCCGAACACTAAACAGCTCCGAACCTAATTTTGACGCTAGAAACAACACCAAAACAAATTGATAAAATACATATTAGAAAGTATATTAGATATTGGAAAATTCCCCGCGGTATGGAAATTCCTTTTTCCGATGTTGACATTCACGAGTGAAAAAGAATCGAGAGAACAACTAAAAGTGTTTTTACTCAATTCTTTTGAAAACACAATGAGTTGTGAGTAAAATGACCAAAGAAATGCTAAAAAAAGTGGAACCCACCTCATAACCTCGGTAATCAACTTCTACTTCAATACCGTACAAATTTATATGTTGATATTTACTATTGAAAACCGTACCTGCAATAGATTTTTCACTTATTCAAAGAGCTTTAGAAACAACCTAAAATACAACTTTTGGGCTGATCCAATCGTGTTAATTGGGAGTAACGACTTGAAAATGATATCAAGTAAACTTGCCGAGCAATATAAAACGCTCGAGAAACGTTCATAAGAAAGGAACTTTCCAACAATTTATTAATTGAATGTAGTTTATGCTTGTTTGAGTGCACTTTCAAACATTTTCACTTAAGACTAAGAGATGATACCTCTCTGGGAATACCACCTGACAATGGAATAATATTTACAAATAAACAGTAAAAGTACCAGGTTTTGGATTCCTTGGATTGCATGGCATATCATCAGCTAACATTAGAATTATATTGCTGAAATTATAGTTCACTGTTCAATTGTGAACACTACCTTAAGCAATTAAATTCTGTTGATCAAATTAATACCTCATTGTCAGTCAATCTCAGCACAATATCATATACAGTTTTGGTTAAGACATTAAGTTTAGTTTTTCTTTGGGTTCAATTTTTATTCAACGGTCCTCATTATTATACATTTCTTTATGCGTTCAATCAAATGTCACATACGTCCAATAGTCAAGGCCATTTGAATAACCATTCAAAGGTTTTCATCTTTTGGAATTTCATCCACTCTAAGAGGCACAAAGTCTTTATGAAGTCATTAATTCAAATGAAATGAACCAAAATGTACCACATTTTCCATATTTTGTCTACAACTATCAATAAATTCACTATCGACTATAAAAAATTACGAATATATTTATAAAATGATAACAGTAACGCCTGAAAACACCGTTCAAAAACCGAGTCTGAAATTGAAAACGTCAAATACCGCAAAGAACTGATAACCAACCTATCCGGAATACCCAACCGTTTAACGGAGTGATACAACGATAAAACATTCGCAACATGACGGTAATTGAACCAAAACCTTGACGTGCACACCAAAACAGCCCAATTATTCGTATGACTTGACAGTTCAAAAAACTGCTCGATTCGCCTTTGAATTCCTTTTTGAAGTGCTAACGACTCAGAAAAAGAACACAGAAAAACTGCGAACGATAACCACAAATTCATCTGAATGAAATGAGTCATTGGTGATGGATATGAAAATTCATCACTTCTCAGCATTACCTTTAGTTAATTGTCGTAAGATGGATACGATATCTTGACTAACATAAGTGACAGCTTTTTAATGATCGCAACTATACAAATAGTAGGTCAAGAAATTATTACCGACCCCATCAACACTTCTATCGCATTTCTTTTAATTATTGCTCAATTATGCAACTCAATGTTTACTAATTGTAAATATCCGAATACTATTTTAGATAACACCATAATTGAATAACCGAATAATTCTGTTCGTGTGCAGAGAAAATGAAACAATGTTCGAAGATAACTGTGGATCGTAACAATCGAAATTTAATGACTAAATAAAATGATGAAACGATATCAAAAGCGTTGAAGTGAATGATCATTTATTAAATAATTCGAGCAACAATGAAAACAACGGATTACAAAAATGTCAAATTAAAAACAAAAACTTTCATTCGCATCGGAATCTGATCAAAATAAACGCTTTCGATTGGCTCACGTAGCCGTTTTTCCTCCAATCCGGGGATGAATTATTTCAGTGTGGATAAAGACAATCTTCTAATGAACCGTATACGATCCTACAGCTGACGCTGAGGAACAGTTCAAAAAAAGTGAATTTGATTTCGGTTACGATCAATTTTACCGCTTCAAAAGTACTGGTGGAGACAACTTCTTTCAATTTCAACTTTTGGTTGGGCCCAAGTGGACTGAATGTGTTTTAAGTGGATGACTTTTGAATAAACAACGATGAGATGTAACACAATTTGAAGATCATATGATTCAATGTTTCAATGTGCACGTTTTCTTCCACAAGTTTTGTTATGCAGATCCAACACAATTCATGATAAAATGATATTCAGAAAGTAGAAACACGCCTTAGATGAACGAAGTAATCGGTATGCTGACGATTAAATGAAAGATGAATAACAATAACAAATTGATACGAAGAGATCATTATCAATTAACACTCTGAATCAGCGTTATATTATCGCCCTTCAGTAATATCCGACCAACTTTATTTCGATTCTTCGTCTTTAGATTCACTTCTTCGGCTTCATCCAATACAACGTTCATATATTCATCAAAACCTTGAAAATATAATCCTCTTTATTACATCAATGTAATTCTTTCATCTATAGCCTCAAAATTCTACGAAGTAAACAAACGCCAGTTAGGTTGTGAACTGAGGTTTAAAATTATAATATTTAGGTTCTCACATCTTCCTGCTAATAAGTGAAATACTGAAAACTTAAACACATCATGAGATCAGAACCCCGAAGTGCAGAATTTCCCGACCGTTTCAGCAACTATCAAGCAGAGCCAAGATTTGCCGGATTCACATTATACCCTACATTGCTCTGGCCTATCAAATCTTGACCTGATCTGGGAAATTTCGGTCCAGCTCGGCAATTCTTGGCCTCACCCAGGAATTGTAGGCCCGGCCTGACAACTTCACATTCCTCCCCAGTTCGTATTTTTGCTGACGAGACTATCAAAGATGGATACTAAGTACGTCGAAAGAGTAAAACAATCTCAAGAGATGAAAAGAACGCTATAAGCAATCGTTAAGTGCTTAGACGAGTGTACCGATGATGTATCCTTCGATTCTGTGAGTGATGTCCTCGTAAAGCCAAATCTGAATGCGAGATCGATTCTGCAGGTACCGAAATATCAGATTAATCGGTTGAACCATAACCTTTTGAACCTTTCCTCCTCTGGCGGCCATTTCTGAGGTATAGCTGAAACAAACCCTCAAAATTTGACTGATCAGCAGCTTCAGGTAACGCGAAATGGCAACAATCGAAACTCAAACGTAATCACTTAAAACTTCAATCAAATATAATTAATAAAACAGGCGAATACTTCGATTCATTTCAATAAAATTGTGCCGCTCAAACGATTACATATAATCAACTACGGAGCAGTTGCCAAAACGCTCTGCAAATGATGACATTCTGCCACAGCTACCTTCGCATATGTACAACTGCTTTATGGAACAATGAGAAGTATTTCAACTGAAATTAACTCAGTTTGAGTAAATAAGCATGCTCGCAGCTAATTGTGATCAGTGCAACGAGAAATAAACCAATGATAAACACTAAACAACAACTGAGTAGAGTTTGCAGTCATAACGCGGATAAATCAATTTACCTGAGGTGAAAAATAGAATACAATCAAGAATTGCAAATTTGTACTCGAAACTGAAGAGTATTAACCTAGTGTGCACTAGATGTCACACTAATACCAACTGAAATGAATCCGTGCTGGATAGCAATACATACAATATGTATTGGAATGAACCACTCAGCTAGGTGAGATGGCTGTAGAAAATCGTTGATATTAATATTTTACACCAATGTGTTCTCAATATAACGGAATTTCGCAGTAGGCTTCTGAATGTACTGCGTCAAAAAGTAGTCATTTAACCCCGGGGGTATTACTCCTGTTGGCTGCATTAACTGTGGGAGCGGCTAGTTACCGTTGTATTTATCGTCTTTGTTGTGGAAGTCTGAATAACTTATGGTCAAATAAACAATTCAGCTAGTGATCAGGTTCTTGAATGATACTGTTTGAGGTTCGATATGAACCGGCCAAGTTGAGTCGAAATGAAATTCCAGTTGTGAAATATGAATCATAATATACTGGTTGGAAAGGTTCAGCTAAAATCGCCTTGTTTGATTGAGCAAAATCGCCCGATAACATATGCTTTTCCGAAACGAGAGTACTTGGAAAATTTGATATTGCAAAGAAACCATCATACTGCAAATAACCATCAAATAAACCATCAAGGCTGAAGAGAACACTACTTTGAGCATGGTGATACTGATACTGCCAGTTTGCTCTTTACGTCGACCAATGGAGATGGAATGCATTAAATGTTGCACTTAACTATATCAGATGATTCCAGAGAAATGTCATTTGTAACTTTAGGTAAGCAAAATAGATTTCTTCGAAAAGAGCAAACTCCGATGGTGTGAAAAAACCATTATTTTTACGTGCAAAGCAGAGGAGAACAGTAGCTTAAAAATGGTGATCCTGATATCGTTCCTGCATTCAAAATGATGAACCTCTTGTATAAATTAACCAATGCGCATGAAAGAGATGCATGAAATACACAAATACATTATGCACTAACAAAAATATATCAGACCGATCATTGATTAAAACACAATGATCGGATCACACTCTATTCTATTCTTGTGACCAAACTTGCTTCATCCAAGTTGATCCGTTCTATAAAAGTTAATAATTTTACAATTCGCAACTAATACAGATCATGTAACTGTGATGGAATTGGGAAAATAAATAGATATTTGTGAATATCGCTATTCAGTTTTGTTGACTTCATGAAATAAAATGTGCCAGTCTTGCCAGAATTCAATACTCAACCATCACAACAGATTCATTTTCAAATTTCATCTATTTATTCTAATTTCATCTATTTATTTTAATTTCATCTATTTATTCTAATTTTGTCACATCTATTCTAATTTCATTATGAGCTTAAGAGACCTGAACTATGACCTGTTGCAGGTCACTGGTTAGGCATAAGTTTCTTGGGAAGTATAAGATTATGAATAATTTTTCCCTTGCATCATTAAAAGAACTCATCAGGTCAGCTGAAGAGACGCAATTCAAGATACGTGAAATACATAGGAGAGGGGCTACTCGGAGAATGTTTTAATTGATCAATTGATTCTCTGACAAATAAAAAGATACTCCCATATTCAAGGCTTCAACCAAAGTGCACATGATTATAGCGACTGGCAACGTGCTGAAATCGCCTACTTGTATAAAACACCATTCCATACAAAGCAACCGTATTTCTGGGAATATGCATCTAAGCACCCCTGACAGATGTGCGTTTTTCCGATGTCTTATCGTCAGGTACTCATTTTTTAGCCTTACCACGATGTTGTGAGACCGTTGGTCAATCTATAGCACTAAAGAATCTAGAGAATCCAACGATGGAAAGAAACAGACATGCTTTCTTTGCACACCTGGTGGTATCATTAGTTTGAATCTCTTGAATGTATTGATCATTACGGACACAGTGTACTAGAATAAACATTAATTGAAGAAATCAAGATATCCCGATAACATATATATTTCACTGAAATTAGAGAATCTGACAAATCCGATGGCATAAAGAAACGACCGTGTTACTTGGCAAATCTGAGAGTACGGTTAGCGCGAAGATGCAACTCTGATACATTTATCGAATTTTAACTCCAAGATGGCAACCCTTGAGCAATTTATCATTACAGTTGCCACCGTTCTTGTATGGTTACGTTCACGAATTTCCTCACTCACTTTTTAGTTGATCGAAGGAAAGAGAAGCATGTACGCACATTCAGAAGCGCTGACTGAACGCTGTTGAAGATTTTAATACGAAGCCTGACTCATGGCTACTAGACGGAAATGCAGAAGGTTCCTTTCGAAGTTACAAGCTCTCTACAGAAGAAAAAAATCGAACATGAGTCAGAGACAGCAACCTTTTCTATCATCCTATTCGAGAATACTTGCTTTTTTGTCATATGGCCATGTTTTTCGAAAGAATCTGATTCATTCCTAGAGGTTTATTTTACTATGCCTAAGGTATATGTGAGGATGATCTTCGCATGAAACGTTCCTCAATTCATGATTACTCATTTCAGTTACACTTTGCTGAATAGTTAACCGTGTTTTGCATTAGAAAAATTTCAAAACGCCTTTTCACATCGATATTTCGAGAAGCCTTTAAATTTCAAGTCCTCAGTCCCCAACTGCGATGTAAACAAACGCGTTAAGACTAGAACCTATGCCGCACTTTAATACACTTTGATCTGTCGGCNGCCACGCACCATTGATACTTTCAAATTTATCCAAATCTCAGCAAAGTTATGAGCTTACGTCCAGGCAAGAGCTTCAAACTTGAGCCTGTCCCTATTACGTGACGTCGAATTGCACCCGGATATTTTGTGCGGGGCTCTTTACGCATTTTGCCATTCTCTCTCAATCATGGAACACCACCAAATTACGCCCAGCAATACTTCTCTCATTATGCCTGGCGCGACAGCATTAAAAACACGGTACTGAACAACGACAGGATGAACAAAGTGATGAGGGCACGAAAACACGAAATAATCATCACATCAACAACAACACGAAATAATCATGGCAACAGGACAATCAAACAAATTATAATTATGACAAATCAATCAAATCATGATAAATCAACAACATAATCAAATTAACATATTTCATGCTTGTATATCCAATGCCCACATACATTTCATGCCCATGTGTTCACAACAGCAACAGAACAATCAAAAAAATATTTACATAAACACGGCATTTCAATGGCTACATCCAACCGGACAATTCAAAAAAAAAAATAACATGAGCACATTCTGAAACAAAAACAAGCGAGCTGCAATCGTTATGACTCAACTCAAAATAAGTTTGAAGTCAGGTCAAGCTATTGATAAGTGAAGCTTGACTCAAGCCCTGTCTTCGTCCACACGAAGTATGAGAGCGATCCGGGAAATGCTATCTGCCTTTCTATTCCTCAAGTTATCATCTGGGTGCTCAAATTATAAACTATGAGGAAATTTCACAATATTAGCTCAAAAATGCTATCTCAGAAACACTTGTTGAGGACACACACATCAGCTCATTCCAAGCCTGAGAAGCCAAAACCGCAGTCATCCAGTTCAACCCGGGACATAGGCTCTCGGAAGTGGTCAACTATTACGAACAGAGGCGATGACTTTAAAA